AGAGCAGTGGAAATCTATGGGCCGGTCCTCGGGACGGAAGAGCCACCGCCGCTAGCGAAGCCCCACCCTAGCTCTGGGGATAAAAGGCAGGGGGCGGAGATGAATAGATGTGTCAGAGGAGAGGAGAGCAGTGGAAATCTATGGGCCGGTCCTTGGGACGGAAGAGCCACTGCTTCTGGAGAAGCCCCACCTGAGCTCTGGGGATCAAAGGCGGGGGGCGGAGGTGAATAGATGGGGCAGACCACCCTTCGTCTCCCAGCCGGCCGGCCTTTTAAGCCTGCGGTGAGAGAGAAACCTTCTGCCAGGGCTGCCGGCGCTCCAAATCAAGGAATCTGTGCGTTCAGAGATTTGGGGAACACACACACCCCCCGGCTGCATCAAAGCACTAACCCTATCCCATTCCCCATTTGGGGCTCCACTGAGGTCAGCTAGCCGTGGTTTAAAAGGCTCTCGTCCCTGGGGTTGAGGGGTAAACTGAAGGATGAATTAATGACAGGCAGTCCTCGACCTACGACCACGGTGGAGCCCTAAATTTCCGTCGCTAAGCAAAACGCTCCAGGAAGCTTCACCCCCCCCCCATGTTTACAACTTTTCTTGCCACCGTCGTTAAGCTAGTATTGCGGTTGTTAAGTGGCTTCCCTCTTGACTTTGCTTGCGACCCTGCCTCCGTCATAAGTGTGGGTCAGTTGTCAAGCATCCAAACGGAAATCACGTGACCGTCAGGATGCTGCATCAGTCGTAGGTGTGAAAAACGGCCCTAAGACACTTCCCCCCCCCCCAGTGCTGTTGTAACTTGGAATGGTCAGTAAGCAAACTGTTGTAAGTCGAGGACTACCTGTGTCGGGGTTCCAAGTAATACACCCGTAGCAAACAGATTCCCCAAAGAAGCCTTTTATTGGGTAAATCGTTTTGCCTGGGATGGTGAAAACTGACTCTGAAGGTTCCTCCAGTTCTCACCCAATTGAAAGTAAAGGTTTTCCTCCTTTCCCCAATCAATCAATCCCGTGGTCCAATCAAAGTGCTTGGTAACTTTACTCCTCCTCTCTCCCGCCACCTGTGGGAATGGCCTTGGTTCCCAGAAGAGGAAACTGTTTTCTTTTGCCTTTTCTCTACTCCCCCCACCTCCCTATCCCTCAGCTTCAGAGTTGACAACCTGTAGTACCCAGTCATTAATTGGAAGGAGTTTCTAGAAGGGTGAACAGCGTCTTCAGTCTGGATTCTTGGGATCCCGTCTCCGGGAAAACTCCCGGTTGCCGGGAGAGTTGGAGTGGAGACGTTGCCAACATTGGGAATTGGGTCTTTCTGGCAGGTCTGGGATGCAGAAGGGAGGTTCCTGTCTCCCCGGGTGCCTGTCTGCGTGCAGATCCCCCCGCCCCCAGCGAGCATCCGATGGGGGCAGGGCTGACCCTCTTCCCCCTGTCTCGGTTGCAGCATCCGAGCCATCGAGAGCCCGGCCAAGGATGACGATACCATCTGGCTGACATATTGGGTGGTCTACGGCGCCTTCAGCGTGGTGGAGTTCTTCTCCGATACCTTCCTCTACTGGTTCCCCTTCTACTATGCCGGCAAGGTATACGGGGAGGGAAGGAGGGAAAGAGCCCGGGGGAGGGGGAGACAGTGGTCTCCTCCAGATCTACTATGGGTAGTGGTAGGTTGCCAACTTGTTTTTACTACCGGTTCGAGCGTGCTCCTGCACGCGACACTTCTGCGCATGCACGGAGGCGTCCGGGTGGGAGGGCGGAGCCTCCCGCCGCTGCTACTACCAATTTGCCCGATCGTAGCTGAATCAGGAGCAACCCGCCTCTGGCTCTGGGCATCGATCAGCAGAGACCCCATGTTGAGGGGTAGTCTACCTAAGGATGCGGCAATGTTGGTCAGCATTGGGCTTCACGCTTCAGTGCGGGCCTTTTGGTGCCCAGGGGGAGTTCCTAAGAGACCTCACCCGCACCCCCGAGCAGATCCTAACCCCGCCGACCCTCCTCTGTCGTCCCCTTCCCCGCAGTGCCTCTTCCTGCTGTGGTGCATGGCGCCCTTTTCGTGGAACGGCTCGCAGGTGCTCTACCGCGGCTTCATCCGTCCCTGGTTTTTGAAGCATCACCAGACGGTGGACAGCGTCCTCAGCGACCTCACCGGCCGCGCTGCCAGCGTTGCCTCCACCGCCTCCCGGGAAGGTAAGGTGATCCAGTCCCCTGTTGGGAGGGGGGATGTCAAGGCACCGGGTGGGGGGGGAAGAACGGTGGTCCATGGGTTTGGGTAATGGACAATCCTGACCTTTGTCTCCTGCCCCCCATTCACACACACACACACACACACACACACACACACTCCTACCTTCTAATCTGCCCCGCTCCCCTCCAATTTGTGGGGAGGAGACTGTCAAGGCTGAGTGGTTGGGGACATTTGATTTTGATTTTGGGTTTTAAGTTTGATTTTGATTTTTTGATTTTGGTTTTGGTATTTTTGGTTTTGATTCTTTTTGGTTTTGGTTTTTTTTTAATGTTTATTTTGAATTGTTTTGATTTTGGTTTTGGTTTTCTTTTTTTTGTTTTGTTTTTCCTTTTGATTTTGGTTTTGATTTGTTTTTATTTTAACTGCCCCCCATCTCGTCCAGTGCCGACTCTCTTCGATGAGAGAAGAGGGCACGAGGCTTTTAATTTTCTGCCAAAATTCCCATTTTGGCAGCAGTTTCGCCCCACAGTCGTGTGGCTGCGTTTTATGGCCGTTCTGCCCAAAATCGGCATTTCCTTCTGAGATTCAGCCAAAGATGCACCTGTAGGGAATCTTTGGTTCCCTTAATGGCTGCTGCAAAAGTCGTAACATCAGATCAGTAGCATGACTGACCCGTTTTACATCCAATGTGAGTTAACGATCGCAAGGGGCAGGTTT